AAATCGCACTAAAATTTCACATTTTATTCAATCGAACATGTGCATTTATGACGTCACAATTGCTTGACGGCTACAGTTCAAATTATCTTAAAACGAACGCTTTTAAAAATTTAAAAATTGTGTAAGGTTTTGAAGGCGAATGGGACGAGCAATAAGTTTACCTTCATTTAACCTTCTAATTTAGGTCTGATTTGAAAGAAAAATTAACTGCACAATATTGTCATGGCGAAATTTACAAAACAATAACCAGTTTGTCTATTTTGCAAATAATATTAAAATAAGAGCTGGTTTTCGAGACTTGAAAAAATGTGACGCATCGATTTTGTACCACACATGGCGTAGAATAATGGAAATAACGTCACAACGCATGCGCGTAAATCGACATTTCATGGTCCAAAGATTTCAATGGAGAGCAGTCTTCATCAAAATTTAAAATCTTAATAACTTTTTAGCAAATCATTTATTTTCTTAGGATTCAACGGATCCTTGTTACACCCAACGAAGTGTTCGTTTTGATATATAAATCAGTAAAATCCATCCATAGATCTTTCGGCCTTTTAATGATTTAATTTTCGGGATATTTTGCTAAAATCCCCCATTGGCCGCCATTATAAACTTTGAAAAAACTCAAATTCTCATCATTTCATATCATTCGTTAAGTGATCTAAACAACTCCAATCGCTTAGGATTCAACGGATTCTAAGAGATCAAGGCTAATACAATATGTTGACAACCCCCGTTTCAGCATTTGCCGCATAATCTTTCGGCCTTTTAGGTTATAAATTTGTCAATATTTTGATTTTCGACCATTAATGACGTACTTGGCGATCCGAGATTCATTGTCCCGGGATTCATGACGCTATTTCCATTATTCTACGCCATGAATTCCATACATATCAATTTTTACTAACGCCCCAAATGGATTTCTTGACCGTTTTTCAAAATTCAAAAACATTTTAGAAATATTGTCCTCGAGATCTTGCTACCCTGTGAATTTTGTAAAGATTAGATAAGGATAAAGTATTTTATTTTTAGGTTGAGTAAACTTGTAAAAAATGTGACGCTTGTCGTTTTTGACGTTGTAAGGCTGTTTGCGCCCTATACTGCTCATTGTTTTGTTTTGGTTTTTTGACGCCATAATGTTACGCTAATTGTCCCCAGTTTCGTGCGACGTGTATATAGGATTTTTTGTTTTTTGTTTAAGATTCTATAACTAATGTAACCGATAAACTGATGAATTTTATGGTTGAGTAAAAATCTATAATCTATTCTATCCTATCAGTTAGGCCCCAGTGACATTTGCTCTACAGCGGGCGTACGGCGGCTGTAGCGCCACAAAATCGATATGGAACATCTACATCGTACTCACAGGGTACATGCTAAATTAAGCGTGACAACAGTTTGCTCAAATTTTATCACTCTCGTGTTGTACTGTAAACCGCGCGTTCAACGGTCACGCTTGATTTGGTACGTACACTGTACAGTCAAGCCAAGTAAGTAAGTCAACATTCGAAAATAAAAATCTCAAAAATCGTACATGTTTGATTTCCAAAATAATTTGTGAGGTGGTTATTTAGATGATAATACACATTTTAACGCACTAATTCTGAGTACATCTCGAATCCATTCTCAACAAAGCGTTCTCGAAATAAGTATTCGAAATGTTTGAGTTCGGGATGATAAAAGTACGTTAAGATATACCGCTCCTTAACAAACTCCTCCAGGAACAAGATATAGAATCAAATGCATATTCTTCCTATTTATTCCCTGACACATGCCAATGAATGTTGCATAAGTAAATATCTCCTTTTTAAAAATTTTTGAAAACGTTGTTCTCTACAGGTGGCATTTTTTATAAGTGAAAAACAAAATTGAACAATTTGCATTTCTAAATTGATAAGTTTCTTGGAATACAACTTAACTGTAAACGATTTAAGTCATTAATAATATTTCCCTTAGTGAACCCATGCTGAATAGACAGTAACTGGGTCGATGTTTTGTGTTCAACCTTGTTTTCATGACTTTTAAACATGAGTCGATGATTATGTAGGAAATTTCATTTTCAAATGTAAGCGTGTCAACTCCTGTTTTTGCACAATATTTAGCCCTTTATAATGATAGATCGCCAAAATATGCATGTACCTCTCAATTAGGCGATATGTTTTTCAATTTATAGATGTAAACTATAAACTCAAACAAAAATTCAAACCACCCGCTCTATTATTTTGATTACACAAGACGAAATTTCCACTCCCGGGGAGCACTTTGGTATCACTTTGAAGGAGGATTCTTGAAAAATCGTTCGAATTTTCACAAAAGGTTTCACGTAATTTTATTGCTTTGTTTAAGCCTCGACTTATATTATACTCAAATCCGATACCATAATTATGAATCAAAATGAAACATTCAATTCACCAGGTTAAATAATAAACCGTTTCGAGAATTGATTTCTTTGAGTTAATTGTGGATATTTATATAAATGTTAGTTGGCATGTATTCGACAGTTAATGTACACACATGATGTATGCATCAACGTGTGACTTAAATATCAATTCGTGACTATCACATTTGGCTTCCAAAAATCAAGTTGGAAATTACAGTGGTAGGAGATTATCGAAAACGTCAATCACATCCAAATATCCGTACGACGTCAAGTATTAACAAAACACTTTTCGAGCATCTCGAACATGGCAAGGTTCTGTTATCCAGCAATGTGCATTTCGAAAGAAAAAATTCACAAATCTCAACAAATTTCATTGAGTAGGATATTACATTCGACATCACAACTTTCAAATTATTTTTTTTAACCAAGAATTGTAAGAACTTGAAACATGTTGTGTGTTTTTCAAACGGCATATCCTCATTCACGTTCTTTGACAAAGATGAATCCATTTGAAAACATGGATTTTCTTGATTATTCTTCAAAACTACCCTTGAAATATAAGTATGTAGGATATTACAGTGTAAATTGACACGCATTTGTTTGCCCGATATCCTGAACAAATAAATGCAGTACCGTCTTGCAATATTTAAAAACCAAAAGTTCATTCTGTATGTAAACAAGAAAAAATACATTTATGGTTGGTTCATAATGAAAAATGACGAATAACAAATATCTTTTGAAGTAGGGGTATACAGGGACACAGTGGAAAATCAGAAATTTAGGTCATATCCCAAAGATTGCTTCACCAATATGTAACAGAACATCAAAATTATCATTTACACGTTTGCTGATAGGTTTATTGAAAATAATTAACCAGAGGTTTACTTCAATTGTGGCACCATTCTTAGTAAATATTGATGAACATACGAATATCGAATGTTGACTAAGTTACTTGTCTTGACCGTGTAGCGTATTCCTATATTTTATGCTATAACTTTTTAAAAAAAAACAATTATAATAAGCATGTCAACATTGACTCTGATTGGTTAATTAAAACATTACGTCAGTATATTTGAAGTCTCAAATATAAATGACTATCGCAAGAACCTCTTAACGTTTGTTTCAACATATCGAGATATGATGTGATGTGATAAGTCCAGAAACGCAATCTGCTACACCCCGTATGCTACACCTGATGTAATCGATGCCAGAAGAGCAATCAACCAGAGGCCTTATCACGCGCTCGTCGCAAGATTTGCGTTTGCGTCTGCGGTGCGCTTGCGAATCTGCATTGCGACGAGCGGATGATGATGCCTCAGATCTATATCAGCATTTAACAGTTAATGAATACAAATTATGAATTCAATATGTCCTTATTATTACATATTTATACGTAGACCTACCAGGCCTATATATGACATAAACAAAGGGGTATTGTGATTTGTAATTTATTTGTAATAGCATAATCTGCAAAATCGACGTAAAATGTTCAGAACAATAGCACAAAACAATGGTACATAGAATCTAATTTGTTCAGATGAGATGATGGTCCTAGAAACAAAAGAAGATTTGATTGGCATTTGATATAACACTACTCAAATTGTCATATTAGATATTGTGGGATTTTTTAGCTTGAATAGAAATTGTGGGAAATGTCTGGAGACTTCGGGAAATGGAAAATGAGACAATTTACTGGGAACCCTTTACTTTGAGAGTATGATGTAAGCCCGGGGATGTAAGGCAATATAAAGTAGTTATTTCAATAAGCCACAGAGTGGACAACATAGTACCCAAAAGGATAGTTACATAGGAGATCGAGTTAAAAACTCGATGCCAGTATAAATAATTTTGATTTTCATCGATATTCAGTCCAAATTATCTTAGATTTTTCAAATAATAGTTTTTCAAGAATATTTCAAAATGAATGAAATGCGTTTTAAAATTGTTTGTCAACTTTGAAAATTATTTTTCAGGGGAATGAACTTTTTAGATCACAAGATTCGCCATAGCTTACTATATTGTAAAACAAATAATAATATTCCTGCAAACATTTTGAAGTTTACAGTTTACAGAAAGCTTTTGTATTCCTGTGATGTAATATTAGCCAATTCATTCAACTGATGGTCAATCTGAAAATTACCTACAAGAATATAGGACACACATTGGATATTATGACGGTATCAAGACGTTTCACCCCCTGGACGCTTCACCCCTAGACTGTTCACCTCTTAGACGTTTCACCCCCTTGACGTTTCACCCCTGGACATTTCACCCCTTAGACAACCCCCCTTAGATTTGACATGACAACAAAATTGGTCAATAGAAGAGCTGACACTGGATGTGCATGGGTAAAACCTTCTATACATGAGGAATGAAAAGAATAATCCAACATGCCAGGAGAACTAAAAAATGACCAACAAAATTTTAATCAATTCAATGGTTTAATATCACAAGGAGAAATATAGTTTTGTAATTGGTATTCAGTTGTTGGAATTTGGAATCTGTAACATATTGAACGTTTATGTAACCCTTTACAATAATTTACCAGGAGTTGATATTTTGTCATGTTTATGCCTTGTTGTTGTTGTTTGAAATATTGATGACATTAGCATAAGAAATGGCCACAAGAATGGAGGACTGCCGCCCAAAAGACCCAGAATTAATACCATTTAAAAACGTATGTACACATTTAAAATTAATCCGTTCTGCAGTTATCCATGAATAATAATGGCAAGAGAGGAAGCTACCATGATATCTCAACCAACATGATGACAATATCCCCCCAGTGGTGTGATTCTTGAAAAACCTAGGTATTCACACCTGCCTTATTTGCCAAAACAAAATGCACAAAGAAACAGACATTAACTCTGACATCATCGAAACAATACAACTGTCTAGCATACCTCCTAAATAATTCCAGTGTAGTCACAGAGAACAATGTACTCGCGATCGTGCTTTTAATAAAATGACCAACCAGACAGAGAAACACTTAATGTGGGAGTTATTAAGGGGTATAAAGTGAAAGGGAATATTACATTATTAAGAGCAGATTTAGGAGCATTAACAACACATTGGCGTTTTCCAGTTTCCGAGGTAAGCAGTTATTTTATTAAGTTTAGAGAAAGTGTATTATATGTATGACAAATATAATTTTTAGATTTATTCCAATCTTTAAAATGATAAAAAATTTAAATTCATGTTTTTTAATATGTTTAAGGCTTTTCACATTCAGAAATTTAACACTGAATTAATAAAACTTTAGTTATTAGAAAAACAAAATAATAAAATTGATAAAATTTTCTACAGTAAAACCTGTGTATAGTGAATATTTTTTGCCGAGAAAAAATGTTCACTGTTGGTAGGTCTTCACTACATACAGCAATGATTCGATTTCGCGGCATTTTGCAGTATAATATAAAGAGACCAGATATTAATCAAGGCTAAAAGAGAGGAGGGAATAAACAATTTAATTTGTATTTTCTAACCATGATCCTCGATAAGTTTTTGATTTGTTGTACTGGGCTTTTTTTACTTATTTTAGACTGACTGTCATCTGAATGGTTCATCCTTTAATTGTCAAATTTTAATCTCTTTCTAATTATTTGTTGTGTTATGATAATTTCAATTGAGATGATCCTTTAAATAGTGGAATCCTCCACACATTTTGAGTCGGTTAAAGGACTTCACTGAATTAATTAATGACATGATAGAGTCAACAATTAAGCGTGATCCTTACAGCGCGATAAAAAATATCAACGATTATCTTGATGTACTTTAAAATAACTACCAACCATATAATCTGAGTCAGAATTATATCTTTTCTTGGTTAAATAGTGTACCATTATGTTTCAGCACCATGCCACGCTTAATGCTGATGCTAGCAATGGCCAGGTTGGCTTGTATAGTTGGAACTGTCATCAGTGCAGACACCCCAGGGCACTCTATCACAAGAAATACCAACCATCTAGATGATCTAAAAATAATCAACAACATATTAGAATCTATTGGAATTGACCTGAAAACACAGCAACATTCACGTTCAATACATGCTAATGATATCAACGATGAAGGAGATCCTTTTGAAAGAGACATGAATGCAAGATCGATTGAGAAACGTTTTACACGATCTTGGATTGACATGATCGGGCATAAAGTTCGTCCTCGAAAGGGGATCACGAAGTCTATCGTTAGCAACGATGGAATGCCAATGTTGCAGATGTCAGGCTTCATGGGCAAGCGTACCCAGATGCAACCAACCATTGAAAATAAACAGAATGAGGTTAATCCTCTGGATTCCTCCATGTATTCTGATGATTTTATGGACTCTGAATCGGAAGAACGTCTGTATAAAAAACAAAATGATAACAACTGGGGGCTACCTGTCGAGTTCCCGAATCAAATGAAAAGAGTAGAAGGGAGCATCGACACCATTAACACAGAACCACCAATGGGGAATGATGAACACTTAAAACGAATACTTTTAAAGGATCTACTGAGTTCTGCATTCCAACAACACGAGCTAAAACGTAACTCCATTATGCCTATCCTTCACTATCTTCCCGCTATTCAGTCGAGGTTCCAAAAGCAAAAACAATTCACGCCACCAATACTTCATATGGGAGGGATGATTGGTAAGAGAAACAGGCACATTGATATTAACAACACTGAAAGTGAACCTAATTTCAAACTTTTGGTAAAAGCGGTTCTATCTGCGCTTTCCAGTGAGGGTTACCAGACTTGACATTAATTTAAACCTGGTAGGACGATCAGCAGATACGTTTGCTGGATGTGGTATCCATAACAAAAAACGACATATTTTTCTTAAAACTTTTTGAACACTCATACCAACTTTCATTAATTTGATCTGATATATGACTCGATTCTAATTAACAAAGCGCTAAAATTAATAGTGAATAAAATACAATTTTTGGGCTTACAAAAATTGATTAACACCACATTTTGCCTTAATTTTCTAATTGTCTATGACTGTAAAGAAGTCTCGAAAGCCTAAAAATCCTCATGTATACATATATACTTCAGTAAATCACTTTATTTTACACATGACAAAAATCAGGATATAAAGCATATCCAATGCAGAACAATAAACAGTAAGAACCTGAGGGGTAAAAGAAAAAAATTGTACTGAGTATTTATTTAAATCTCTCTGAGTAAATAATTTATAATTGCAACACACTCATTTTGCGTTTCATCTGTGATTAGATCTGTCTTGTGAAACCTTAAAGTGTAGAGCCTAAATGTAGTACTAACCAAAAATTTCAAAAAGGCATTAAGGCTTTAATTTCCTGTTTAAGAACCCCTATTCTTACTATGGAAAATGGATTCTAGCAAATAGCAATACTATTCCACATGACTGTACTTGTTGAGATTCCATCAACTTGAGTAGGTTCAAGCTGGACAGTATTGCTAGAATCCATTTTCAATAGTAAGAATAGAGGTTCTTAAACAGGACGTTGGGCTTGCTTTTTAGAACATTTTGTTGGAACTAATGTTAACTATGTAGGTGATGATATTTTAAAGAAGCAAAATTAAAGGAGGAATTTAGTGTGCTTTTCGGATCTCTTATCCCGAAAACAGAATACCCCAAAATTAGACCAGGCATTAACATGCAAAATGTCATCACCTGCTATTTGTTACAGATGCCAAACTCCGAACACCGGATGCCAACTTTTCTGATCTCTTATCCTGACCCTGAAACCCAAAATAAAAAAACTCCGTATCGCAGGGTTACAGAATCATACACAAAGTTCCTTCCTTCTTCCAAGGAACTTTAAGTATGTTTCTGTAACCCTGCGATACGGAGGATGCATAAAAGGCTGCCATTTGCATTATTAATGGACTAATTCAAACCTTCTTTCTGCAAAATATTGAAGCTTTAACAATTGTTTGCCAAATAAGTCACATTACAAATTAAATTGATAAAATCTCTACAGTTTTTAAAAGTGACAAATTCATTTTTGAACTATTTATGTAACAAAAGATCTGTTGATGATGTAAGCTTTAGACTGTTCTAGATTTATTTCATCTTTTAGCAATTTAAACCCACGTTTCCTGAATAATGGATTTTTGATAAACACATATATGTCGCCAAGACAACTACGACAACCAATCGGTACAAATAATAAGGCGACTAATTCCTAACACCCAAGTTTTTCATGAATAAATTCCCAGATTGCGGTGTAAATTGATCACTCACTCGTTTCATCCTACATTTCTAAATGTATATGACTTACAAAACTTGAGATCCTGTGATCTTATTGACACATGAGTATTTTAATATCACACATAATTATATCGCTTCCTAGTCAACTCGTACCCAAGACAACTCGTACCCAAGACAACTCGTACCCAAGATTATTTTCAGTATTATGGGTGCATATTAGGGAAAAATTGAATTTGTAATGCTTTCATGTTATAATGTGAATCAAATAAGCCTCAATATTTTTTTGAATTTAGAAGACATTTTTTCTCACTGGATCAGTAAAGCATTTTTCTATTAAATAAAAGAAGTGCTTGAAGCACTTGTTCTCAACATTTTTTGTCAAACATATTATAAATATATATAATTACAACATTAGATCTGACACTAATTGTTCCAAACACTCATAAACATACAATATTTTGAAAAATGATTATATGTGTGATAAAAATATTACTCTTCACTCGAACATCCTGAATCTGTGACCAATATAAAATAATAGTCAATATAAATTGACTCTCAGCTCAAAATGTCACAAAATTAAATCAATTTCTTCCGAAAATTCTTCTTCAAACTTTAAACTATTCTGAACAGTATGTTACAATTATAATATGTATATCTATTCACATTCCCAGTCCAACGCTTGATTCAAAACAAAATATATACTTGGGTATGAGTTGTCTTGGGTACGAGTTGTCTTGGGTACGAGTTGACCAGTTACCATTATATCACTATATAGTTTGAAATTGCATAATCGGTTTAAAGCTGGGTCAAGGGACGTGAACAACCATTGCACTTCACAAGTTGATATTGTACAGTAAAACCAGTTAAGTGGAACACCTCTAGAAGTGGAACACCTCTAGAAGTAGAACACCTTTGTTATTGGAAAACTTTTCAGTCCCAAAACCGACTGACTTCATGTTAAATGAACCTCTACAAGTGGAATACCTCCCAAGTGGAACACTCTTTAAAGGTACAGGTGTTCCACAGGTTTTACAGTGCTTACCTTTTGGGCTTTAGGATATTTTTACTTGTGAAAGGGTATTCAACTCAATAGAATGAAATAGAATTGTTCTACAGTACATTATAAGTTTGGAGCAAAATACAGAAAATATTTATTCATATTTGAGAGATGAATGTTCAAATGATTTTTAATCAGAAAATGAAGTGTGACACAGTGATGTCAGTCGCAGTGTGATACTAATTTTGTATCCATTACAAGGCGTGAAAATACAGGATATGTAAAAGGTTGGAAGAAATCTTAAAAATACCAAAGGTTTCTTCATAATCTTAATTTTATTTTTCTAAAATGTACTAGTTGTCTGATGAAATAGAGAAGCTATTGGAGAGATGTAAAATACAGCAATGTCCCCATTCAATTTTTTCAATTTTGCATTTTTCACCAGAATTTTTTTAGTCAAAATTGTTGGACTTTTTCAAAATAAGAGAGAACATAAAAGCAACAAAAACGGTAAAATTGAGGCATTTTTCTAAACTTCTTTCAACTTGTCGGCCTCCATTTATAAACCAAGATAATAAATATTTATATGTACATATTTATTTTGTTTTCAAGCAAGTTGTTACAAAATCTACAAAAATATTGAAATTCAACACATACTTGTATAATCAAGGCTTCAAAATATCAGTTGCACAATTAAGATATCTTCAATAGTGCAGAGAAGTACTCCTTTTTCATAATCTTAAAGCAGGTTCAAATATTATATCTAAGATCTTCCCGAACTTTCTCCAATATTTTGGAGGGGAAATTTTTTATAATTTTACTCTCGAAAATCATAATATAAGTCATAAGATATCATCAAAGATTTCAATAAAGTGTGATATCACAAATGTTATGTTGTGTCTAAAGTCTTATGAGTTGCAGCAAAGAGTTTGTTCACTCCATGCATGTAGGTGACACCATGCATGTAGGTGACACCATGCATGAAGGTGACATGCATAAACGTTTGATGGTTAACCATATCTCAAGTGTCAGTCAAGAATCAGAGTTCTTAAATCCTGATTCATGTTACATTTCTCAACCGTCAGATGCCTTGCCAGATGCCTCGCCCCCAGACTGTTGACCTTCTGACCCTGATGGTGAACGTGACCTTGATCGTGACCTTGAATGTTCAGATCCAGAGCCAGATCCCCTTGATCTACTTCTACTGCGTGATCGAGATTTCCTTGACCCAGATCTCGACCGTGATTGTGACCCAGATCTTGACCGAGATCCAGATTTTGACCTCGATCTTGACCTTGAGCCAGAATTTGATCTGGAGCGAGAGCGAGACCCAGAATTTGACCTGGAGCGAGACCTAGAGCGAGAACCAGATTTTGACCTTGATCGTGACCTTGACCCAGATCCAGATCGTGAGCCAGATCTTGATCGTGATCTATTGGAGCCGCTTTCACTCCCAGAGGACAGGATACGTCTTCGTTTTCCCATACCTTCTTCAGAGCCACTCTCATCACTGAAAGAATAGAAACACATTCATATTGAACTTTCAGATAAAAATCTTGATCAATATTTATGAGTGAAAATCTTGGATTTTTAATAATCTTGATTTTATCCTTAGACACCTAAATTTTTTAAAAAATCATCCCTGAAAATTTCCAATCAATACCTGAAATGGTTTGCCTGGAAATGTGTAAACAGGATATTGGATAAAATTTGGAACTTTAAATATTGTTATTAATTAATTATGCATGCTATATGCTTCTGTACAGGGTGTCAAAAAACAACGGCACCCCCCCTCTACAGTAAAAAGTACTAAATGTTACATGTTGTGTTCATTTTAAAGACAATTTAATTCTGGAGTTACCTGAGAAATTTCAGTTTTATATCTTATAATTTTACAGATTTACAGTAGTTGGTATGACCACCAGTTGCTGCTCGAACAACAGCTTCTCTGGATGGATATGATTTCAATAAAAATTCAGATAAAGGTGTAGCATTGCATAATCCTCTTAACACTTTCCTTACATTCTTCAGAATTACATCCTTACTGTATCTTTTTTCAAGAGGCTCTTTGTCCATCAATTCCTATACCCTGTTTTTCAGAACTGAACCCATATGTCCAGTGCAGTTGAAATCTGGGCTAATTCTTTCATATTCCACTTTCTTAAGATTTGACCTTTAACGAGTAACAGTGCAGCAAACAAAGTACTGAAGTAGCAAACTTTGAAACAATGTAGCTTTTTTAATATAAAGTTTTATCAAATGAAATCTGATGAGTAACTCCAGAACGAAATTATCTTTCAAATGAGGTATGCCAAGATATGTAACATTAAGGACTTTTTGCTGTAGAGGGGGGTGCCGTTGTTTTTTTGACACCCTGTATATTATAACCTGTTATATATACAAAGTGATCATTACCCTGGTCTACTAAGGATATGCTGTAATAATAGCTAGAAATCCCACTGTCAGACTCTTATTTAATACAGGGTTCATTCATTGGATTAATATCTTATAATGAGTATTCTCTCTTGATTCTCTCACCTCTATAATTATATCTTTAAATCTAGAATCAGAGCTATTGGTAGGGGGAGGGGTGACAAAATTAGAAGAAACATGTATGATTTCCAATCAAATGTCAATTACAATTTCCATAATAAAAACCATGACATTTTATCAAAAATAGTGAAATTATTGAAGATTTAAAATGTAATTCGTGGACAAGCTGCCGTAAGGACAATAGCACTGATAAAAGTATTTAATTTTAATCTTATAAGGGCAAAATGTCCTTGAATTAAATTTCCTTGAATAAGATACAAGACATTTTATAGAATATTTTGGGATATCTAATTGAGGTATTAACATGATAGAATGCCACCACCTCTTTCCAATTACAAAGGTATAATAACCACTCAATACAGAGGACATACAGTTTCTAATATTTTTCCATTCTGATTTTCCAACACAATCAAATAACAATAGTAGATGATTCCTGTTTTCCTCAGATTACAGGAAATCAAGACTTGCTACATATAACTTAAACGTGTGTTAAATACAGTGATCAACTATCAACTATCTCGCCTTCTGGGTATATCATTGAGATCTACCATAAGTCAAACATGTTTTTTTTTTGTGCAGTGATCTCCCCGGCATTGTGGCAAGTAGGCGTTGTGTCTTCTTACGATTTTTAAAAGGCATACATCAACTTGTGAGTGCCCACTTAAAAAAATATGAAATTGAGTTTGCCCCTCGCTCGAGGAAACAAATCCTCGTGATAATGTTGAATGGATTGAAATATAAAAAACAATGGTCAGAATTGATTCAGTATTTCTTGGCACTCCAACATATGCAGTGTTTGCATATCCGGTATTTCTTCAGTCTTCCTCCAAACACCAATGATTATCTGCCCAGTATGTCATGAATTTTTTGTTTATTTCACCTAAGTTTTACCACTGATTATGGCACATTTTTGTCACTGGAGACTCGTAGATTTTGTTCATTCAATTATGCTATGGTGTCAAATAATGTAGACGAGAGCATGGGGGCCACCCGTCTTATTCTAAGTGGTGGGAATCTTGAGGTTCACACTCCGTCAGGTCGCCAACTCACGTGGCAAATAATGACAATTTATTTGTCAGAATTTTTTCTTTGAAACATGTCTGGTGTCAGTTGAACAATAGAATAGATTGTCTCAGATGACAAGAAAACTATACAAGGCAGTAACATGCAAAATGTCACCACGTGCTATAAACTGTAGCAACTTGATTGTTCTCGACATTGTGTGACACCACAATAAAGTTACATCAACAATATCCCATTGCCTCCCTTAATGAGAAACCATCCAACCAAGTACCCCATCCTACATCCTTCTCCCAAGGTAAGATCTCAAATCAATTTACAAAACAAAACTCTGTGATCCAATATAATCCAAACACAACACTGCAAATCATTATGAAAGATTGATAATATAAACATTTGATATCTGATTCATGGCCCTCTTAAAGAAAGATAAACTTCTCCATTAAGTGATAAACGGAGATAATCGGGTTATGAAACGGAAATAAAGTTAAATATGGCATTATTGTTGTGCGGGTTTATGACTGAACTACGTAGGAAATCACTAAATAACAGGACATATCACACCCTCGATCTTAATTCCCTCGACAATTAACTTGATACTAAAAGGATAAAAGTCATGTACGAGCATTTATTTTGCTCTCTTGGGTCTTACCATAAGAGAATTGAATGAGTGTGCACTGAAGCGCATTTTAAGAATAATGGAATTATTGCTTCAATAACAAAAACCAAAGTGTAAAATATACCATCCTTATGGAATTCATTAACGACCAAAATTCAATCAAGATATACATACCAGAAAGCATTCCTAAAAATTTTACATCAATCATGTGATGACAAGAATTTGGGACATCAACTCGCCTACTAAACTGATTATGATATAATATAATGGTATAGTATGATGCGCAAGTGTCAATGAAAACAAGAATTTAATGAACTTAAGTGCTTTCAACCTGCCTATGAGTCTTCTCCTGTGAGGCCACGAAAACTTTTTAATGTGAATATTTCATTCCTCAGTAGTAGATATATTAAAAAATTTTTCATCAACAGTAATTATTCATGACCCAATATTTCTACTAGCTTAATTGAACCATCCAACCATTGGAAGAGTGAAATCATGCTAGTATCAAACTAAAATTCATTTTCTCTGTTATAATTTCGAGGTCTGAGCTATGTATTTTTGATTATTACACATTTTAAAAGTTGACAAAAACTAGAAATTTTCTGGCCAAATGATTTTTTTAACAACATAATATCAAATATTCACTGATGGATTGGATTGAAGAACTTTTCATTTAGGTTAAAATTCCTTATTAATTTGTGGTCCAAATGTCCACCTTTCAAAATTTTAACCACTTAAAATTACCTTGCCAAATAAGCCATTTAAAGGAAATTCTGAAATTTTCGTTTTCTTTTTTTTCGGTGACCATGGCAACCCTGGGTTATAATCTCATTGAATGACCTCATCAACTTTTGTTATTGCCATGGAGCTATAATCTGTTGTTAATTACAGTGTTTATATCTCCCTATTCACTATTACTGCCCATCCATGTTCTAAACTTAGACTCTTTTGCATGATATTGAAGATTGTTATCACCGTTATTACTGTAGCTCAACATCAATGGTCACAAAGACATTATTATAGTCACATATCCACAAACGTGTGATAATTTGGGAGAAAGTCAAATCATACAATTTTAGTCGAATAATTTCATATTCTAAATGTAGACTCTTTGCATTTTCCTTGGTGGTTTTCCATTAATGGCTCGCCAATCTAGTAACAGAAGACAGTAACAACTTATATACTAGCCTTTTTGTGTATTAGACTCACAAAACCAAAATTAAGTGAGAAATTACATGACAACTAGGACGATTGTGAAATAAACATTGCCTGAAGACCAATGGTATACATGTATATGAAATTGTGAATTAAAAATTTCAAAATTTTTGAATCTACAGGGTGGGCCAAAAAACAATACCCAAGTTTAAAGATGAATGATTCATATGATAATATGTTAAACCATGTCATGTATTATGTATCATTTTAAAGATAAACCATTTCAAAACAAAATGACACCATCCAATTGAAAAACCCATCCTGTATATGGGTTCTCCAAAATCTAAGTCAATTTGTGATAAGTGTGAAAAACAAATTCAACAGATAGAAAATCCTCAACAGCAGACATAAACACAGAAGCGGGTGGAAGAATTCACTTATTTTTCTCCAAGGCATCAATTTGTCATGTCCCTAGCTAACTCGATGCAGTTAACACATCTCCAAGGCAACAGTGAACAAATAATTATCCCACAACCTTTAAGTGCTGAATAATCACTCCTGCATCACTTTCTACAAAGTTTAAATCCCATATTTCAAAATACTATATGACAAAAAAGCAATACAGTCAATGACTTGAAAATTGAAATCGGAGATTACATCACATTTCCGCCATAACACTGAAACCTTTTTTGCAACACATGTATGAAACATTTGTAACATGACCTCAAAAGGACTTCAATTAATTCTTAATCGCTTTCTCTTTGTTGACACGAGTTGGCGTTAAATTGTAACATTAGATTTAGGCATTTAGAGTTCACAGTATGGAGAATACTGATTGCATCATGATGTTGCTTTCTGAGTTGATTAACTGACTATAAAACAGAAATGTCAATTGTGAAAGGTATTTCAACCCAGTAATTCCCTAGACAAGCAGATCTCATTGACAAAAATGTATTCCCCCAAATTACTTGTCATTTTGTACATTACATTGCAAAAATGACCAGGCAGAAGTATTGTCTCTTTTTGGCAAAATCTACAAAATATGGCGGTTATTTCAACATTAGAGACATTTCTTTTTGGGCAGAGATGTTGAGACCTTAAAGCCTCAGCATAAGAACCAATTCCATCCAAAGTTATTACAGTTATCAAAGATTATTTTTTTA